ATTATCACACACACACGGATGACCACTATGAACTATAAATACCGTGCAGCCTATGCATGTCTCCACCCCATCTGCGCATGACCATGACTACGTTATCAGCACCTATGATTAAGGATTCCCGAGGGAATCCTTAACGTCAGGCAAACAAAACGCTTGTTCCAGCGATCGCGTCTTCTTCTTCTGAACTGCTTCCTGGAACTCGCATATTCTCCACTATTGACAATCCACATGATATCGTTAGAAATTTTTTTCTTTGGAAAATGGCTGTAACAGCGTTCATTAACGTTGAAGGGACCAGCTGGGAGCTCGTACGTAAATTTCCTTCCACGATTTTTCGTGGCTGAGCTTTGTAGTTGGGGGCTACGGTTTTCTTTGAGGACAAAGAGCAAGACACCGAATCCTACAGGTGATCATCCATTTTTGTAATATTGTACTTCCACTCACAATCTGTTAAAAAGAGGTATAATAAACAGTGTAGACACAGAGTAGATAAAGAGCGGACAACTCAGTAAAATAGCCCTTTGCCGTCGCCAGTTTAAGTCTGTTTCATCAAAATGGGTATCAGATAACAGCGTGGTACCCTTTTTTTGTCAGTGAAACTGAATGCGACTGCGGTTTTTTTATCTGCTTTAAGGTGTAACAGAAGACATCTCGTCCTACCAAAGGGAACTGCCCGTAGCTTAGAGGACTTTTATTAGTTTCTCTGACTCAACTTTGGTCTGAAAAACCGAGTCAGAGTTGCCGATTAGTCTGTACGAACGCCAACAAATGGTAGATCGAAAGTTGAATGCTGTTAGACCCGCGGACGTGTGGGCGACAGATTATCAATTGTAGCTGTCCACATTCACAAAAGGAGTCACAAAGCAAGACAAGCCACGAATTGAGTGAAACCTGAGTCTCCGATGAGAACTCGGTCAGTATATATATAGATCTGGCGTCAGCATACAGAGACCTGCGCAGTCACCTCCGAACTGTCGTTACTTATATTGCATTGGCCCTACCCCCGTGAACTGTTACTTTTTTTGTTGCCAATTTTACCTCCCATGCTGGACTTCATTAATAGTTTGAAAGCTCAGAT